CCGTCCGCCGGCCTGAGGGCGGGGGCAGGGCGAGCAGGTCGTCTTCGACGGCGATTCCATTGGCGACGCTTTTCACGACTTCGAGGAGTACGTTGACATTGCGGGCGAAAAGGTGGCTCTCCGGCTGCAGCGGCCGACGGCCCCTGAGCTGATCCTCAGAGCCCTGTGAGTCATGTTTTCGCCCCCGGCCGCTGAAGGCTCAGCGCCAGCTGCGCCTCCTAAGATCATCCCTGCGAGTTCCTCTCCATCTCGAGCTTCGAGATGCCTGGAAGCAAATGAGGTGCGCGAGAGACTCTGAGACTTCCTTCTGGGGGCGCTGCAGGAGACGACCTGGCGCGAGCTTCCAAGACCCCGCGGGCCTGGGCGGCATGGGAACTACGGAGGTCGACGAGCTGCGTGGCGAGCAGCGCAGGTCACCGCCGCGCGGGCCCCGCGCTCCCTGGGCCGCCTCGACTCCATGGGCCGAGGCATCATCAGCCGCGAGGGCAGCGACAGTGATGTCGCGAACTTGCTGCCCACGGAGGATACTCGCCAGGGGATATGTCATCCGAGGCCGAACAGCGCAGATATGATAATATGGAGAAGTTGGGTGAAAATAGCATGCGGCGCCGGTGCGATAATGCGCAGTGGGTGCGTCGAATGGACGAGTACAACAAGACCCTGGAGGAACACGTCAACTTTCTCGAGCTCCCTGAGTCCGTCCCGAGGGAGTGGATGCCATCCGATTCGGTTGCGCAGATTCATCACCTCAAAGCACATGTTGCACTCTTAATGGCCACGACCCAAAACCACTTGCTGGAGGTGCGCCGCTTGGAGCAGGTGATTCACGAGGTGCGTGATGCGGGAGGTGGTTCATTTTGCGGTCGGACGAGGATCATCCAGCTGCGGGGGGTGGAGGGCGACGCCAAAGCTGAGAACCATCGCGTCAAGCTGGGGCGATGCCCCGAGCTCCAGCAGACCAAGATGGCGTTGATCAAGCAGCGAGGCGAGGCTGTGAACAGACAATTCTACACCCGGCGTCAATTTGAGGCACCAGAGCATATGGCGCAGAGGTGTTCGACGCCGAAGTTGCAGACAAGGCCGACCTTCTGCTATAAGTTCGCGGTGCGTTCGGAGATGCAATGCGCCCAGCGTGCCAGAACGAACCAGCTCGCGCAGTCCTAATTCAACTTTCACACTTGGGCTTCCTGGAACTGCCACTTCAAGTGGCAGCTGCGAGTTCGACCCCACGGGATCAGGTACTTCAGTATGATGGCGGACCTGGAGGACGCGGCGGACGCCTCGCAAGGGCGCCGAGGACCTTCCAGGAAGAGCCAAGGCCGCGCGCCCGAGGGTAAACGGGCTCGATCCTTGACCGTGCAGGCTCTGAGAGCAAGAAAGGATAAGCATCCAAGGTGCCGCCAGAAAAGGGGGGATCACGCGCCGGGCCGAGCGGGCCGATCACGTCGAGGGCGCGGGCTCGAACGAGGGCGACGACGAGCAGGAGGGATATCCCAGCAAACCACCTGCTGCGGCATCCGGCGACGACCGCGCAGCCGACTTCCCGTAGCAGCGTGAGACGCCCTACGATGCTAGCCTGGAAACGAAACTCTCGGCCGATGCAAAAGAAAAGGTTACGAGGGGAGCTGGGGTCCTGGGGGCCAGAGACGCGCCGGGGGCAGGCTGCAGGTGAGGCTCAGGCAACGAGAGATCCAAGAGATCTGCCGCTGCTTCCTCGTCGGCACAGCGCCCCTCTGGCGAAGCGGGCATCGCCGACGACGCGGCCGAGGGGACATGAGCTAATTTCTAGCGTGCGGTCGCCACTCCAGGGGGGCGGATCAACCGGGGGGATACGGGCGTCGCTTGCAAGAGGAACTTGGACATCGACTGCGCCGCCAGGTACGCGGCAAGTCGGGAGCTCGAGGAAGAAGCTGGACTGCGCGTCTCTCTGGGCGACGTTGTGGAGATCCCGAATGACAAGACCGCGTCTCGACCGCGCAGGAACTGCGGCCCCCCCCCTCCTGGAGCTTCCCAGAGTAAATAGACCGCGCAGGCGTTCTTGCTGTGATATGTGGAGTGCCAGGATGTGTGTAGTCTAGGATTCCATGCCAGAACATATTCTCTGCAGATGAAGCAGGACGTGGCGAGGGAGCAGACGGCGGCAGCTCAGGGTACTGACGCGGCCCAGACGATGCAGGGTTAGCCGTCCGAAGCGACGGAGAAACGGACTGGCCGACCGGCGACGTGATCTACTATTTGTTGCTGAGGAGACGTGCTCAATAGACGCTGGACACGCGAGGTCCAAGTCCGATCGCCGCCTTCAACGACCCCCCTTCGGAAGGGATGGCAGTGCAGCACCAGTGCCCGAGACAGCCTGCCTTTCATGTGTGGGTGAAGCTGCTGACGCAAAAGCCCGCTGATATTGCGATCGATCTGGCCAAGTCGTGCAATGCTTATGAGTGCGAGATCGCGGTGCACAACCTGATTGCAATAATCGAGGCCAGCGATTGCGAGCCACTCTATGGGTGCATCGAGGCGTGCGCAGATGCCGAGATCGAGGGCCCCGCGACCATTCGCCCTGTGTCAGCGTTCGCTTGGAGGAACTAGAGCGACCTGCCAGATTTGGCCCCTGCAGCGCTGGCTGTCGCCCGCAGCGGGAATTGCAACGAACCCCCGAATACAGGGACCTGCGGCGCCCACCTCAGGAGGAGAAGGTACTTATCAGCGCCAGCTGGGTGGAGTTGGTGAAAGACGGCGAGACTGCTCTCAAGGGGATAATGGATCAGATCAAGGTCTGCGGCGAGAGCGACCCGAAAGCAGAGCTGGCGCGCTTTCTGGCAATTTTTGGTGCGTTGTCAGGCGCCGCGGGGGGCCTCGAAGGACGCGTGGACAGCGCTCCGCCGGCTGGCGAAGACATCGATGAGACCATGAAGGCAGCGATGACCATCGACCACTGCGTCTCCGCTCCAGCGGGGGAAGAGTTCCCAGCGGAACAGGGTCGGAGTCTCTTCGGATCCGAAGAACACTGCATCAGTGCCCGCTGGAGGAAGGCCCACCATCTGTCCAGGGAGAACGCGCGTGCTTTCGACGGTGTGTTGAGTGCCAACTGGAAAGTGCGAACAGGTCGACGCGACGGGGGGCAACGTGCTCGACACTCTCTGTGACTTTGATTGTTTCGGGCGCCTAGGTTTGCGTATCCAACTAAACAGTTGCGGGTCGTGAATGTGAAAGGCACGCGCCCGGGAGATGCAGCTGGATATGGGGCTCAACAAACCGGGGGCCGACATTCAGACCGCCTTCCACGGCGCTATTATGGAAGAACATGTTTATATATGGAGCCAGGAAGGCCTGTTCAAGCGGAAGCAGGGACCTTCGGGCGCGGACAACATTTTCGGCGTCTTCTGTGAAGGGGCACATTGCTGGACTTCCTGCGCCCGCTTCGCGGTGCACCTGTCGTCCGGCGTCGGCCCTGATATGAATCTCTACATGTGCATTTCCGAGTTGCAGGCGGGCCGCGTCTGCCGCGCAGGTTGCCCCGAGATGCGCGTCCACTGGCAGTGGTGCCAAACCGAAGGCAGTGCCTACGTCGCCCAGCTCTGGGCCCACACTGCGACGATGAGGGTGATATAGGACAGGGCACAGGCGAAGCAGCAAGTCTTTGGATGGTATAGGATTTGGAACCGCACGGTCAGGATGCACCTCGCGGCGCAGGCCATCTCCACCGAGTTTCCGAGCGTCCACGCGAAATCGGGCGAGGAGATCGAGGGCTCCGACCTGGCGGTTCTCGAGGTCAAGCTGATCCCAAGTGTGAGAGATGGGGTCCTAAATGGGAGTAGCTGGCTACCAGTGCGTCTCTCGCGGAAACGAGCCGTAGAGTTTCGTGGACGAGATACGGCAAGTTGCTGATGAAGTTGGATCTGGAGATCTCATTGTGGCGCCAGGATCGACCAATCCCTTGATGGAGCTTTCCTGGAAACGTTCTCAATGCCACGTCGTCACAAACATGTCGGGGCAACGTGAGATGGCTACGGGATCTGGGTGGCTACAAATTCCGAGTCATATAAGCGGACGTTCGCGGGCTGAGGCGAGGCGGCGTTTCGGCTGCAATAAAAGTTGGAGCTGCGGTTGTCATGCCCATGTCAGCCTCTCCTCCTCCTGCGGCTCTCTTTGTGCTCCCCTGTGTGCCGCCGGTGTGGCTCACAAGGGCCCTTGAGTCACCTGGCGCGCAGGCGACGGGCCCGCCTTGGCCCCCGTACAAGGGAAAAGAACATGCTCTCTCATAGCACGGGTCTCCATACTTGTACTTCGTGTTCCTCTGTGTTCCATACAGTTGCTCCTGTACATTCCACATTCCCAAACATGATGTGGTACGCAATCGAAGGAGGCAAGCTAGGCACACTGGAAGCGGAGTAGGGGGAGGTAACGGCGGATGGTCAGGAGGTCGAGGAGGATTTCGACGAAGGGGGAGGAGGTGGAGGGAGAAGGATCAGCCACAGCAGGAGCAGGACGAGTAGGATGAGTAGGATGACCATGAGGACCACGGGGTTGCGGGGGAAGGGGGCCCAGAGCTCGGAACTCGGCGGTCCGCGAGAAGATGCCAGAGGGCATCGTTGCCGGGGGTGTGCGCTACGCTAACGGGGGAAGGGACAGGGGGGAGTGGCAACGATGAAGGGTTCGGATCCATAGCTGTGGCCCGCGATGCTGCGAAAAAAACGCCGTTCTGAACAACGGGCGCTTTGCATTCGATGTGCCTCTCCCGATTTCCTTTAGTTGTGTGGTAAATCACGGACTAGGTCTAGGTTCCAGGTTGCTGCTGTATTCCACCCTGTGTGCTCTCTGGCGCCTCTCTGTATTTGTGTCTGCTCTTCCTTCCTTTTCCTTCCTGTCCCACCTTGCCCTTCGGCTTACTATCGGTTTCCTTGCCCCCAGACGCTTGTTGGATTGGGACATGCTGTTATGAGACGGTGCTTCGCTTTGCAAGAGCGTGCGATCGAGGGGGGCAAGCGCGCCGGCGACGCAAGGTTGATTGACTTCGGCAACGCGACGTGCCTGCCGCATTGGCGCTGGGTTGGAAGCAACGGATCCAGCATTGACGACGGAGTAGGGAGAAAGAGGGGAGGCAGCAGCGATGAGGGAAGTGAAGACGGGAGCAAGGAGTTTAGGCAGGTGGAGGAAGGAATGGCCAACTCCAGCGCCTTTTGTTTTTTGAAGAAAGGGAAGGCGTGGAGGAAGGATGAGTGGGACAAAAGAGGAGGAGAGAGCGGGTGAGGAGGGGGACGAAGTTAGGGACGGGTTGGGGGGGAGGAGGCGGATCGGGGACAATGAGGACGATTGGAACTGGGGGAGCCCCCCCCCAAGGTACGAGGACGAGCACCACTCTTCGATCATCAACACGAGGCAGTACAGGGGGCCCGAGGTGAGCCAGTCTGTGGCCCATACCCTTCGCCGCAGCAGTCTCTCGAGCTCGTGTCGCTAGTGCGCGCGCACGCTTTCGTTACCCGACGTCCTGGCCTCCATTCCATGGGGTGGCACGGCAGTCGAACAATTAGCCTGGCGAATGACCCAACCATATGCAGCTGTGGGCACCGTCGTTGTATGCACCGCATTCGGTGGAGCTCCTTACAGGCCCACGGGACGTGTGAGCGGTGTACGAAAATGGGTGCGGTGGCCGCGTGCGAGCGATGGCATGTGGGCCTTCGGTGGAGCTCCGTATGGGGCCACGAAGCGTGTGAGGGCGGTGCCAAAATGGGCGCTGTGGCCGCATGCGAGCGCTGGCATGTGGGCCTTCGGTGGAGCTCCTCATGTGGCCACGAAGCGTCTGAGGGGTGTGCCACAATGGGTGCGGTGGCCGCGTGCGAGCTTTGGCATGTGGGCCTTCGGTGAAGCTCACTATGGGGCCACGTGTGAGGGGCGTGCCAAAATGGGCGCGGTGGCCGCATGTGAGCGCTGGCATGTGGGCCTTCGGTGGAGCTCCGTATGGGGCCACGAAACATGTGAGGGGTGTGCCAAAGTGGGAGCGGTGGCCGCATACGAGCGTTGGCATGTGGGCCTTCGGTGGAGCTCCGTATGGGGCCACGAAACATTTGAGGGGTGTGCCAAAGTGGGAGCGGTGGCCGCATGCGAGCGCTGGCATGTGGGCCTTCGGTGGAACTCCCAAACGTATGCGGGGTGTGCCAAAGTGGGAGCGGTGGGCGCATGCGAGCGCTGGCATGTGGGCTTTCGGTTGAGCTGCCAATGGGGCCGCGAAGCGTGTGAGGGGTCTGCTGACGTGAGGGGGGCGACGGGAGGAGGGAGGAGGAGGGAGGAGGAGGGGAGAAGGAGAGGAGGAAGAGGAGGAAGAGGAGGAGGAGGTGGAGGAGGAGGAGGAGGAGGAGGAGGAGGAGGAGGAGAGACGCTGGGCGCTGTCTCTTCAAACGAGGACCCAACACCACAAGATGGTTGGGAAAAACAATCTGGAATCGGGTGCTGGCTAACCTCTGCAGACGGCGCCAGGTGCCAGACCACCCGGCTGTGCGCAGATGCGCACGCGCGTTCTCGTGCACCCGCTAGATTTGCACAATGCGTTGCAAATCGCGTTCACTCGATGAGAGTAGATGCCAAGTGTGTGTGTGTGTAGGTGTGTGTGGTGTGTGTTCATGTAGGGATGCATGGTTGCGTACGCTGGCGCACGATGTCACACGAAGACGCTTCTGGTCATGTGCGCGGAGTTGAAGACGTTTTGGGAGGCTCTTGGGCTGTCTTGGAGCCTATGGGACCGATGCTCCCAAGACGGCCTAATAGAAGCCCACGAAGTGGAAACGCACCCAAGAGGTCCCAAGGGCCCGCCAAGAGGCCTCAGGACGCCTCCAAACAAACCCCAAGAGGCTTCCAAGAGGCGTCCGTAGCCATGTTTGCTCAAGGTCCCAAACTGTGCATCCGCATTCTGGCCGCGTTGCCAGGCACGTCTGCACCACGAATCGACGCCCCCCTTCCGCTCGAGCTCGGCCGGCGGTGGGCGGCAGCGCCAACGTGGAGGGTGACTTTTTCGAGGCGCGCGATTTGGCGGAGGTCGGCCTCGTTGCCCCAGGCACCGTCGACGCTGCCCTATCTTCCAGGCGGGCCGTGATCCGACTTGCGGCGCTTGCTGCTGTCTGCCGTGGCTGCTTTGGTCGGGCTCGGCCTCGCCGTGCCGAGGATCCGCGGCCCCACGGCCGCAGGGAGGCCTCCCAAGGGATCTGTGCTTGCGATGGACTTTCGACTTCTGCAGGAGGACAAGTCCATTGAGCACGAAGGATTCACAAACGATGGAACAGAACATCGAGGCAGCCTTCTACCACTTCATTGCGACTCCGGACTTTGGGAGCGAAGTGACAGAGGACGATACTGCAGCATTCAAAGCTAATTTCGCGTCGCGGGTGGTGGGGCTGACCAAGGACCACGGTCGGGGATCTCACGTTGACGCAGCGCAGTGGAAGAGCTGGTTGAAGAGCACCACCGATGATGAGAAACCAATTTCCACATAATCTTTCCTGGAGCACATCAAAGGCTAGAACCTCGGCTATACGGTGGGGGAGCGTACGGCCATGGAGGGTGCCACGCACCGGGACATGTACTTCCGCCTCGGGCTAAAGCTGCCGACTGGGTCGCTTAAGGAAGCTCCGCTTAAGGTGTCAAGTCTGGGCAGCCTGCCGCGCCGCTTCGGCGCCAGCAGCGAATGGCCAGACTGCCATGACGTAATATTTCCGCCGCGATAGTGTTCAGGGCACCTTCAGAAGTAGCTGGGCGTTCGCCGCCCTTCATGCCTGGACAGCAGTTCATGTGTCAAGACGCAGGAAACGTTCAACGGTGTTCGGGGGCATTTGTGCCAGACTTCGCTGCTTCGTGCACCTACGAACCCGACGGATGTCAGGGCGGAAATCCAGCAGAAGTGCTCGAGCTCGCTGGGTCGCGCGGCCTTTGGGGGAGATGACGGTTGTATCCCACATTTCGCCTCCGGCGCTGGCATCGATCATGTCTGTTCACAGCGCATTGCCCCGCCGCTTTGGCGAGCGCAAGCGGGCCTCGTATCCCAGGCCTTCGCATAGTGAGAAGCTCTTGTTCGGGGGTGAGGGTTGCACGTATTCTTCCGAACGCGTGCGGCAAGTCCAGGCAGTGTTGGCTAGTGATGGTCCTGTCGTCAGACTTGCGTTCTATGGCGGCGAACTTCTGAGTTGCAGTTTTTGGGATTTCCAGCGCCGAGCGCGGGATCAGCCCGAACCGCGCCGCGGCCATAATTGGTTGCGGCGGGGGCGCGCGCGGGGAAATTCCCGCGGGCTGCCGCGGCTTCTGCTGGAGACTGTTGAATTCCTGAGGGGGCTCGCGGGGGGGCGCCGGGCGGGGGCGAGATCGCGGCCGCGCCGCGCGAGATCATGTGCAATGCGGTCCCGGGCTCCATCGCGACTGGCCGCGCGAGCGCCTTTCCGAGCCCTGCGCCCCCCGGCGGCGGCGGCGGCGGAGGGGGGGCGGCGGCGGCAGCGAGGGGGGCTTCGAGGTCGTGAAGGGCAAGTGCCAGATCGTGCAGGAGCACGCGGTAAGCCAACATTTTCCGGGCGCGTGCAGACAAGACGACAGTTCCGTCATCGGGGTCGCCGTGGAACAGCACATTGAGTTTGCTGTGTTGTCGTTCAGTACCGAGGATGGAATTGACCACCTCAACGTAAATGGCGTCGACTAGAGCGGCGCAGAGAGCGACGTAGCGGGGCCTCTTGGAATTTTGGTCGTCAGCAGCGCCGTCCGTTGGACGTCTGACTTCTCTGCCGGAGCCGGGGGGGGGGGGATTCGCCGTGGAGTTGAAGCAGCGACGCAGGTGACTTGTGGCGCCGCGTTTGACGATCTCGCGCAATCCGATGGGGGTGGACAAAGCGTGAGCTGCCCCCAGGGCGGCGCCACAGATCCTTCCTGTGTTTTGGGAAGCAACCCCTGCGCCTGCGACTTGCCGGCTTGCAGGTCAGCTGCGCATTTCGGCGGTTCTCAGATTGAGGCGCGTGCGAGTGGCCAAGCAGACAAGTTGGGTGGGGGCCGTGCACAATGGCGTCGTCGCGCTGTCCTACACGCCGTTCGCGTCTTCTGATCGACGGGGCACTTGCGCTCGCGTTTCAATGTCAACGCCGGGCAGCTTGCCGCCGCGCGTATGGAGCCATCTCATAGTGTCATTGTATGGTGCCATTGTTTCAGGCCGCGTCGGACCGCAGACGCCCGTGTCTACTGCGCGCAATGGATCCTCTCTCTCCGTTCTGCTTGTTCTGCGGGAAAGGAGCTGCCGCCCTCCAAAGGACATTCGCCGGGCGCGCGCAGCCGGGCGAAGGTCGGCGGCGCCCCCGCATTTAGCACGCGGCGGCCCAGGCGTCCACCGCGACCCAGAGGGCCCCGCAGGGGCTGCTGACGGGCCCGGGGGGGCCCCCAGGAGCCTTTTTCCAGGCCAATCACGCGCATCTGAACAGGTGGGGTCGGGGCAGCAGGAATTCCACGGCGCCGCGTCCTGCAGGCTTCCAAGAGGCGCCCAAGAGGCATGCGAGTGGGCGTTCCGTGGCGGGATTGGCGCACCGACGGCGGCGTGCACGATCCAGGGCTCCGCCCTCCCCGCCCCCGCGCAGCGCCGCCAGGGTCGCCCCCCCCCCCCCCCACCCCCCCCTCGCTGGGCGGGCGCGCCCGCGAGTCTCGCGACGGCCTCGCCACTCCGATTGCAGAAAAGCGCCTCGTGTTTTGATGCAGCTTCTCCTGCGCAAGTCCGGCTCTGCAAAAACCTTATCCCCGGCGTCGCCGTGATCCGCCATCGCCTTTAGCGTGGCCTTGGAGGGCCTCGCGAGTGGGCCCCCCGCCCTCCTTGTGGTCGTGGCCCCGTGGGCGTGGCGTGGGGGTAGGTGCTGGCCCCCCCTCCCTCGTTGGGCGTGGAGTGGTTCGTCGTTGTCGTCGTCGTAGTCGGCGCCGGGATTGCCGTAGTCGTCGCCGTCGTCGTCGTCGTCGTCGCCGTCGCCGTCGCCGTCGCCGTCGCCGTCGCCGTCGCCGTCGTCGTCGTCTTCGTCTCGCCCCCCGCTTCCATCGCGTCTGGAGACGGGGCCTGCGGGCACCTGGGGCCCGCCCCGCCTGTTGGGCGGGGGCCCGCGAAACCTCGACCGCGTTCTCAGATGCACATGCCCGGGGGAGGAACTCGGGGGCCAGGAACCGAGGCTTGGAATCCCCAATCTGGGCCCACCACCCCTCCATGGGGCCTCCAGGGGCCTCTCCACCGGCCGCTCGAGAGAGCCCTCTGGAGCCGCCGGCAGGGCCAGGGAGGCCCTGGGAGGAACCCCGAGGGCGGCCCGGCAGGGCCCCGCATTGCCAGACGGTCGCTCCAAGACGCCCACGTGGATTCAAAACTGCCCAGAAGGTTTCCATGTCGGCCAGTGGAACGCCAGGGCC